GGGTTTCAACGCCGGAGAAGAAAGAAAAGAGAAAAGAAATAGAAAAAGAGATAGAAAAAAGAAAAGGGGTCGGGAGCGTTTTAAAAAAAATTCAACCGAATCGATCAAAAATTTGAATTCCCTTAAAAGTTTCGACCGATTCAATCGGTACTCTGGTCAACAAAGTCAGACCTCGTTAATAGACTTTGCGATCGAATCAATCGCAATATATATATATATATATATATTCAACCGATGAGGTCGATAATGTCAAAAATACGTTTCACAGTATTTTGTGCCAAAATGTCCGATGGGTGTAGTCGACATATCTGCCGTAAAAATTAATAAAAATTAAAAATATTTTTTAATACATTTCTGACTGATTTCGGAAATTTCCAACTAATTTTCGGTTGGAATATTTCAATTGAAAATGACACTTTTTTTAGTAGTGTAAAAAATTAGCCACCTTCTCAAAAGTACTCAATATTTAGCCATTTTATAATTAGTTAAAGTTTAATTTAGAGAAGCTTGAACTCATTCTAGCATAATATATCAGAGTTTTTCTTTGTTTTAGTTATTGATATTTTTTTCAGAAATATTTCTGTCACGATCAGGGGCGGATCTACCTTAACCCAAGCGGTGTCACGTGACACCATTTCGTCGGAAATTTTTATTAAATAAGTATGTATAATAAAACTCCAACAGAAACAATGAAGTTAAATGTAATAAAGTGACACCACTTGACAATAATAGGTGTGTAGCACAGTTGGTCAGGCGCTTCATTCTTCTTGAATACGTCACTAGTCCGAGTCTATGTGGCTTCATCTTTGATTTAAATTCTTTGTGCCTCAATTTTGAAATAAAAAAATATGGAGGTTTGAACCGGATCTCTTATCTTAAGCATTAAGACATCTAAACCAATAGATCAAGAGTTACATTTGTATAAGTTGTTTGGCTATTTTTTCCTGTTTATTTTCTCTATCAACATTGAAATTGATTAATAACAATTTGCATAATCAAATGAATGATGAATTTTTGTGTGATTACTTGGTATTTTATATATATAAAAAAAGTATTTAGTATTATTCAAAATAAGGTTATATTGAATATATTTTAAAAAATAAAAATTCATATTTAGTAAGATATTTGAGTTCTGTTCTATAAAAAAATTCGAATTATATTTTTTTAATATGATGTTATAATGAATTATTATTTGTTTACTGTTCAAAATTGTGACACCGCTTATGATAAATCCTGCGTACGCCACTAGTCACGATCCAACTCTCATCGGAGCCGTGACGGTGCCTAACACTACTTGCCAGACAAGCAAACGGTAATATAATAGTTTAACATTTGAATAAACATAGAATAATAAACTTGACAGTGAGAATATTGTAAATATCATATAAAAACAATTGAAATACTGCTACAACCAGCCCAAATCTGGTGTCAATGAGTAAATGAGCTCTACTAAATATCCAACATAAACCAAATCTCTGGTACAACTGACTGAGTAATTGAACAGTACTGAAGGAAAATAAATGTAAAGAGAGTCAGGGTCTGCGGACGCCATAGCAGCTATCTTGAAGTCTCCAAGCAGGTACTAGCACGGATCTAGCAGTCACCACGTCCGGATGCACTTGGATCTGCACACGAAGTGCAGAGTGTAGTATGAATACAACCGATCCCGTGTACTCAATAAGTAATAGAACTAACATGGGCTAAAAACAGTGACGAGCTCAGAAGAAGACAGTCGGAGTCCAATATAATGACAACACGGGTATAATAATCACAATGACAATAACAATAAATAACTCAGAGGAATTTTCATAATCAGCTCGTTCATGATACAGAAATTTAAACATGTTTTCAAGTTCAACAATTAAAACCCAACGCTGATAGGAACATGTCAAGTACAGCTAGCATGAGTAATGGTACATCTTTATGGCTACATGGCATAATATGCATGTCAAATGTATGATTTAACGGTGATATTTTCCAAGTACTCACACTCTCAGAATACTCAATCTGCATGTCTCAAATGTCCACTCATCACACACACAATCACTCAGCACTGTACGTGTGTCTGGCATCAATTCCCTCACAAAAGCACGTGTATATAACATTGTACATGCGCTCCATGCTGGTATGTCATACTTCGGAGAGGTCGATTCTGCCCACGCGCTAATCAAATCCTATAAAACCTACTGCGGCGTGCAGCCTGATCCACAAAATAATAATAATAATAATAATAATAATAATAATAATAATAATAATAATAATAATAATAATAATAATAATAATAATAATAACAACAACAACAACAACAACAACAACAATAATAATAATAATAATAGTAATAATAATAATAATAATAATAATAATAATAATAATAATATGGCATGCTGCACCTTGCAGCCCGATCCACAGTAACACCCATAACCCGACTCTCAAGCCTACCTCAGTCATCAATCTCAAGTCTCAAGGACTTAATCTCGTACCACTCAGCCCAAACAATGATATCATGTGATGTAACAGTGAATGATGAACAGAGATTGAGATATGATAAGAAAATGAAGAACCGTGATTGAAAATATAATTACAGTTAACGCAGATAACTCAAAACAACATAAATAACCTCATAAGGTCTAAACTGAATATACACATAGCCTAAACATGAATCACAATTCAATTACTCTAACAAGTAAGGATCACACAGATAAAACAAGACTTTATAGCAACACAGTACAAAAAATCAACCCAGATTATGATTTTCACGGTGCACGCCCACACGCCCGTCACACCAACCCAATAGAAATAACACATTTTTCAGGGATAATCACCCTCAATTTCAAGTTTAGAAATATTACTTGTTTCAAAACGAGCAAGTCAATACTCCAACAAGCCCTTCCCACGTGTACCGCTCTCCAAACGACTCGAATCTAGTCACAAACAACTCAATATCAACAAATAATGCCGTAGGAAACAACTTCAAACAATAAAGTTTCGCTCTTTATCAAAATTAAAATGTCAACCCCAAGCGCGCACCTCGAAACTCGACAAAATTCACAAATTTCTAACACCCATTCGATTACGAGTTCAACCATACCAAATCATCCAATTCCGACCTCAAATCGACCTTCAATCTCTATGTTTTTCATTTTTAAAAAGTTTCTAAATTAATCCCCAATTTTTCTTCTCTAAATCACCAAATAAATGATAAAAACAAGGATGAAATCCTGATAAATGAACAAATCCGAGTCAAAAATACTTACCTCGATCCAAGTCGTGAAAATCCCTTGCAAAAACGACCAAAATTAAACTCTACAACTCAAAATATGTATAATAGCTCTAACCCTTGAAATGACTTTTTAACATTCTGCTCAGATGCTCTCCTTTCGCGATCGCGTAAAGTCCTTCACGATCGCGAATAACAAAGTTCTTCAGTTGCCAAAGTCTTCTACACGAACGCGATTCCCCATAGTGCTACGCCTACGCGAACGCGTCCCCCTATCCGCGAACGTGAAGGCTTAAGGCCTGGTGCCCAAGCCAGCCTATCTCTTCTACGCAAACGCGGTTCCACTCTCGCGATCACGACAGACAGCCCCTCAAAACCTTCCTGAACGGGTCACCTTCTTCACAAATGCGAAGAACAAAATCACCTGCCACCGAATAACACTACCCGAACGCAACCACTATGTCGTGATCGCGAAGAAGGATATACCACATATCAGATTAGCAGTTCCTTAATACAAATAAATGAAGCCGAACTTGATCCAAATCACACCCGAGGCCCTCGGGACCCCATCCAAACATACCAACAGGTCCTAAAACGCAATATGAACTTAGTCAAACCCTCATATCATATTAAACAACATCGAAATCACAAATCTCACCCCAATTCAAGCCTAATAAAAATAATGAACTTCCAACTTCTAAAACCGTTGCCGAACCATATCAAATCAACTCCGAATGACCTCAAATTTTGTACACTAGTCCTTAATGATACAACAGACCTATTCCTACTCCTAGAACCAAAATTCAAATCCGATATCAATAAAGTCAACTCTCAGTCAAACCTCTCAATCTTCCAAACCTTCAACTTTCCAACTTTCGCCAATTCAAGCCAAAACGACCTACGGACCTCCAAATCAATATCCGGACATACGCCCAAGTTCAAAATCACCATACGAAACTATTGGAACCATCAAAATTCCTTTCTAGAGCCGTACACAAAAGTCAAATTCCGGTCAACTCTTTCTACTTAAGCTTTCAACCTTCGGACTAAGTGTCCTATTTCACTCCGAAAGATCCTCGAAACCAAACCAACCACCCCGGTATGTCACATACAAATGAGTATAGAAGAAGCAATAAATAGGGGAACGAGACTACAATACACAAAACGACTGGCCGGGTCGTTACAATTTCCGCATTAAAAATGGTTATTTTTCAATTACATTTCAAAGGACGGCTAAATTTTGGATACAAAATAGAAAAAACTGGCCTTCCCACCCAATTTTTACGATAATTTCCTTCCTTTTACTTCTATCCCGACCTTCCTCATAGCAAAGATTTTTTTAAATAAAATAAAAGACGTTTTCTACAAATTATATGTGTGCACAAGATGTTGTACATGAAACTAATGGACAAAAAATCATGCATGTGGTGTGGTGGTTAGGAAAATTATTATCCCCTTTCTTATGTCTTTTTCTAACACGAATTTCTTCTAATTATTACTTGTCAATCTTATCTAAAATTTAAAAAGTGAACAAAAAATGATATCAAAATCACTTGCCAAATAAGTTTTAGACAAAGATGAGATGAAAGAAGCTGTCATTTATGTCTTTATTGTAGTGGTGCATGTGCTTATCTTTTGGTGTGTTGTTCCTCAAACCCTTCTCAACCACCCAAGATTCCTAGTCACTAGATAAGAGCTATAGTCAACATTCTACATTTATTTTTGCCATTTGGAAGTCTTTCTTATTTTTTTATTTTATTTTTTTGGGTTGTGTGTGTAGGGGGTGGGGAGGGATTGAATGTTTATACTTAATTTCCTTCTTTTGTTTCTTTAGCAGCCCCAGATCATATTTACTATTTTTAGTTTAATAAAGAGACTTGTATGCAATGTAGGAATAAAAACGAAATTAAGATAATTTTTACTTTTAAAAATCTCCTAATCTAATCCTAAAGTACAAATTATTGAGTACTAAATTGAAAAATTAAGGACCAAACATTACAATGCTCTTTTAGTTCGTCATATGATCATTTTTACAAGTATAACCAAGGGACTTGTATTGGCCTAAGTTGACGTTTCATAATTAAAATATACTAGGTAGTTTCTACTGTTTAATATAATTTTGGTGTATATGGTGTATTCTCCAACGAGAATCTCTATTGTTTTTGTTACATGGTGTACGTACTTACACTACAATTTTTCTACATATATAGTTATTGCTCTGAGAAAATATATTAATCAGTAGTTTACATCTCCGTTTGAAAGAGTCAAGTGTAGTTAACTATAAAATCCCACTAAAGCTTTCCAAAGAAAATATAGTAGGCAATTATGCATAGTAGCCAATTATTGATTCTTCTAATTGTGTCTGTGATTTTAACAAGTAGTTGTGGTGTTAATGCTCAGCTCCAGCGGGACTTTTATCGGAATTCATGTCCAAATGTGGAGTCCATCGTCCGATCAGCAGTTGAAGACAAGTTTAAACAGACAATTGTTACAGCTGCAGCAACACTTAGACTCTTCTTCCATGATTGCTTTATACAGGTATTCTTTTGTTGTGAGTAGGTGTAGTTTATGAATTAATTCTACCACAATGTAAAAAAATATTTTACACCATATATATCAGGTTGGTTACTACATGTAACTGCCAGTAAAAGTGAGATTGATAACCTAGAAAATAAGATAGGTTACCTACTAAAATAGGTTAAAATATACTAATAATAGTGTAAAATAATTTTTTACTAAAAGGCTCACCCTTCCGATCCGTTGTAAGTTTCCAATGTACATGTATGGATATGTTTGATATTCGTTTCATTTTAATTCAAGAAATCAATTCTATTAAACTATTCAAATTATGATCTGATATTTTTCTCTATATCAAACTGATATTTCAATGATCATTGGTTGACTACCGCTGATATAATAATAATATATAATCAAATTAATTTAACTCCTTAGATAATTAAATATCATCATCGTATATATAAAATGGATGTGAGGAGAATTATTTGTACAATGTTAGTAGTCGTGATGCAGTCTTGTGTGTTTTATGTATACAAAGGAAAATTAACTGAATGTGTATTGAATTAATTAATGGAGTAGGGTTGTGATGCTTCCATCATACTGAGGTCGTCAGGAAATAACACAGCAGAAAAGGATCATCCGGAAAATCTGTCCCTTGCTGGAGATGGATTTGACACTGTTATTAAAGCCAAAGCTGCAGTCGATAATGTCCCTGCTTGTAACAACAAAGTCTCTTGTGCTGATATCTTGGCCATGGCCGCTAGAGATGTCGTTGCATTGGTATGCACTAACTTCTTGTGTACTTGATGTTTGTTTCATTTGATCGCTTAATTAATTTGCTTCTTATTGTTTGAGTACCTTATTACGTACTAGATTATCAAATTATTTCCTTGAAGAAATTTACGGTTGTTAATCAGTATGACAGATATGCATATTGTTAATTTAACTTCGATCAAATTTAAACCATGTGCATGATATGAGACAGACATATTGTACGGATCTTTAGATGTGGCATCCAAACACTCTCTCTCTCTCTCACAAGTAGTAGAAATGACACCAGATAGCTACTCTATAGTGCTGTTATTTATGAATTAGTCAGTGCGTCTTGCATTTCATTTTGAGTTTAAATTTTCAGGACAAAAATGTCCTGCATTATCCTGAAGTTAAGATTTTTAGTTTCAAATTTCAGGGCAAAATATGTACTGGCTAATATTTAAATACCATCCCTGAGAATGACTATCTGTGCACATGCCCCTCTGAAGTGCTTGAAAACTAATGTCTACTTTTAAACCCGTCCGTACATTTTTTATTATTCTTTTGTTAGATTCTTTATGAGTTATTACTGTTGTTGTTATCGGTGTAATTATTGGTAGGGTCACTTGTTTTGGTGATAATGATTTAAAATTTGTAATAGTTTTAAGTATTGAATGTGTAGGCAGGAGGACCAAACTATGCTGTTGAATTAGGAAGGAGGGACGGCAGAATGTCTTCACAAACTAGTGTGCAAAACAATCTACCCCACTCTAGCTCCGACTTAGAGAAGCTCCTTCCAATGTTTGCCTCTCGTGGTCTGACTATCAGACATTTGATTGCCCTCTCAGGTATATTACCACTTCCAATTTCTTTTCTTTTTCTTCTCCATATTTTTCTTTTTCACTCGTATAAGATACTATATAAATTATCAATCTTTTTAGGGAGATAAATTTAAATACTTTACATTGCTCTTTGTAAGTGACAAGAAAAGTATGACTTTTACAAGGCCATTTGAAACAAGAATTGGGTTTCGAAGCTGTCAAAATAAAAAAGAGATGCTACAGTACACACTTCATTTTGAACCACAGTTGCGCACATGTAATGAATCACATTTTGATTTATGTAGAATAGCATTTACCCAATTTTTTCCACAGTAGTCTTGCTCACCAAATTAGGATGAAAACGTAAGAAAGTTAACTCGTCCCACTGCACCTGCCGACCAAATTGTTTCTTTCTATCTCGATATGAAATAGCCTAAAATGTCTATCAAGCAACAATCACTCAACAGGTGAAGTTATTTTTTTTTTTTTTTTTTTGCAGGAGCACATACACTAGGATTTTCACATTGCAACCAGTTCTCAAGCAGGATATACAACTTTAGCAGCACACACAAGGTTGATCCAACAATTGATGCACCCTATGCTAAGAAACTCCAAGAAATGTGCCCACAAGATGCACCTCCTGGAGTAGTAATCCCCATGGATCCAGATACCCCTCATGTGTTCGATAACACATATTACAAGAACCTACAGAGCGGGAAAGGGCTGTTCACTTCTGACCAGACACTGTTTACTAAAAGGGGGTCAAGGAGAATAGTGAATATCTTTGCATCAAACAGGACAGCTTTTGAAAGGGTCTTCATTGCTGCCATGACAAAGCTTGGAAGGTTTGGGGTCAAAACTGGAAATCTTGGTGAAATTCGGAAAGATTGTGCTGTAGTGAACTAAGTAAACAGAAGATAGAGAAGATCACAGATTCATATAGGACCATTCTGCAGCACTTATTTCAAATTCCAAAAATTACACAATAAGGCGTAATCATGTTCATGAAGATCCAGAGTACATAAAAAATGACTTGCTGCTTCCCTTGGCCCCCGGTAGCACGGGACCTGCTTGAACCCCTTCCAATCCCCCATCCCCGCCCAGAAAAAAGGGAAACGCACTTTACTATGATTCGGAAAGATACATTCAATCACCAAATGGCCTAATATAAATGATTCAATCAAACAGTGTTTGCTCAATCTTTGAGAAAAAATTGACTACATGAGTGATCTTGGTTAATTTTGGAACCTAAAACAATTGTGAAAATGGTAGACCGGACGAACAACTTCTAAATTAGCTGTATACTCCGCTTCCACCACTTAACCACATCCCACCCCTCAATCTTCCACCAAACTTCGATTCTAAATGAGAAGTAAACAAGAATTATCATTCTAAACTACAGCACCCAGTGTTACAAGAACTATAAGAACAAAAGAATTAGCATTTACAACAGGCGGTTAGGCAGCAATAGCATCCAATTAATGGAACTTCTATCCACACCACAAATGTATTGCGGACAGTTCCTTCTTGCTAGATGAACCCAGCCAAAAAGGATACAAGTTTGTCCAAGATTTCTTCAAATATTGAAATCCTGGAAAAAAATACCCTGTACGTTCTATAGTGACGAGGGGAGTAACAATAATGTCAATTAAAAATATGCCACTTGGTTATACTCTATCTCTATTGTAGTTGGATCGCCAAAACATCCATAGATTAGTACTAGTACCTCATATCAGCCCCTGATTGAATGATATCTGGTTCCTGGACCATGACATTTTCCAGTTTATCGTCAACATCTGAAGAAGCTCTGTAACAATGTCGAAATAAAAAGCTACCCATTGCCTCCTCAGTGACGAGCTAGGTCTCTTGAAAACTTAAATATTTGTTAAATGGGAAACGTTCATAATATCTAATTTAGACACTAGTTATCTTTTCTCCAAGTTCTTGTAGAAGCTATCCAAACTTCTTCCTTGACAATTGGAGGTTCTAGTTCAGCTCATCCATGAGATTCCTTATCTAAACCAGCTGACTGCTTGCACTACCTATGACTTTTCATCACTAATGGTGACATCAGTGCTCCATCACATTCCATCGGGACAGCACAATCTCCATTCTCAAGGTGACTTGATTCCCCAGATTTACAGGCGGCCATCTTAGTCTCATTAAGAGAAATTGCAGCTTGTCCAACTGAAGCATTACTAGACTCAAAATATTTGTCTTCCATACTAGTATCTTGGTCATCCATATCAATGTCGTTTTCACAAGACAATTCAGGCTTGGCACAGGCATTTGTCAGACCATTTAGGGTGCTATTCTGGCAAACTTCCCATGAGACATCTTTCTTGGTACATCTGTTCGTAGGGCGTTTCCCAAGGAAGCCAGGGGCAAACAGTGGCTTTAACTTTGGTCCAGAAGAACTCCCTCCACCTGATTTCAGAACCACAGGGTGGCTTCCGTGAGATGAAAATTCTTTGTTCTGGTTAGTTTTGTCTGGCAGTTGAGTGGAAGTTTGTAACTTAACATTGTCGGAGATATCGCCTAAGCTTGAGGCAGAGGATGAAGCATCATCCAGCACATCACCATTTGTCGCTACAGAATCCTCGGTAAACAAAGAACTCAATAGACAGTCATTGGTGGTTCTTTGGCATGGTTTAGCATCATCTTTACTGTCAGAAACAGGGGACTTTGTTTCACGTTTCTGATTCTCAACTTCAGCCGAAGAACTAGCACCAAAGGAACTATTGGATACCACTCCAAGGCAAGAAGTTCCTGTAGCTGCACTAGATAGTTTAACATCCAGCAACTCCTGCTGGACATGAGAACTTGCCCCAAAATCTACCTCCTGATGCTCTGCTCTGTCCTCAGGGTTGGTTAAGGAGGATAACTCCACTTTAGCCCCAATGATCTCAACTTCTGAACCATTAACATCTGGCGGTAAAACAGAATCAACTACTGTAGCCGGAGACACTGTTGCACTAAGACATTCAACAGGTTGGTCTGTGGAACCTGGCTTGTCTTCCACTTTAACTGTATCCTGGTCCTCTTTCTTTAATAGTTCAAGAGGAAATAAGGATGCTGGTCGAGGGTAGATCCTGTCAAAAGTAAATACAAATCAAGATCGTTGCTGCCAAAGGCAATGCAGCATGTTAAATAGAAGAGATCCATGTACAGATCAGATCAATTAGATCATGGTCAAAATAAGGTTACCTGCTATATAAGAGCATGTATGCTCCCTGCGAAAGCACTTCATCCAAATCAACACTAACCACCTACCAAAAATTTTACAATGAGTCACACACAAACATTTTAAAGTGATGAAGGAAAAATTGTGAAAAGGAAAAATAAACTAAGAAGTATCTATAAGCGGGATATTGTACTGAGATCATGCTGCTTGAGGTAGATTATTTATTAAGTAATGACTTTTACTAATAAAGCTTAAGTGCTCTAACTCCCACAGCACCTATATTCCCAGTTTGACATTGTTGCAGACCCAAACATACACTGAGAAACAACCAAGAGTGTCAAAATCTGCATAGCTTAACAGAGAAACTGGTGTCACATTCTACATGACAACGACAAGGAAAATCTGAGAGAAGGTGGCACAGCAAAGAAGGTGCCCATTTTACGAGTTTCTTAAACTTTTTTTGTGGGATATACTTATATACCCCGGCAAGTTTGTATACATGTCACATTCATGGAGTAGATTCTTACCTAAATAATAGAAATATTACATTTCTCAAATTAGATTCATCTATTAAACCACCTTAAACCTCCACAAGCACAAAACAAAAGAAGCATATTTTCTGAAGCTTCAGTTTTTACTTATGGTACACGATCTTGGGAATGGGCGCGTATGATATGAGTGAGCAGCTTTAATAACTTCTGGTGCATGCACGAAACACCCAAAGCATGTCACATCCATTCAACCCCAGGTACATCAAGGCAAATCAAGGAGCCAACAAATAAGATATAACTAATCTACGAGAGAAGAAAACTAGCTTATAGCCAACATGCATTTTCAAGCAGAAGCATTAATATAGTTTATCGTCAAACACATCTATAAGGTAACTAGCATTTGCCAGGCCCAATATAGCAATTCACCGAGATATAGCAACTCATATAAATTACCAAGCTTCAGAGTTTACATTGTGGATAATCAGCACAGAAGAACATAAATGAAAGTGCGACATGCCATCAGCAACCAACCAATACATTTCGTGCATTGGGATGGCATACAACAACAAACAAGAGGGTAGAGCAAGAGAGAAGTTTCTACCTTACAATCATCAATCCTGTACCAACTTCCACGGAAATCCTTGATATAACATATGTAATGGCCGAAAAATGATGCATTCAACATATCCACGTGAACAATAACTGCATATAGCTTGTAAATATTATTGCCGTCTCCTGCTTCGCTCACGTACCGATGGAGATCCAATGTTTCAGGGAAAGTCACCCTCTTATTCAATTTACCAAACCTACCACTCTGCATAGAGATTATGACCACAAATAAACAAAAGTAGCAGAAATTAACCCTCAGAATCGCATCCAGGAATAAAATGGAACTTGGGGGTGAGGAAGTGGGTGAGGAATGTTAATAGAGAGAAGGAAACTCCCTGAGTTATTGTAATTCACCCATACCATAAAGAAATGCAAATTCTGTTTTGCAGTTCTAGAAAAGATATAATAGCAATTAGAAACGCAACACGTACGGATTAAATTATCCTTTTGTTTTACAACCTAGGGTGCATCCTTGTCTCTGAATGGAACCCAACTGAAGAAAAGAGCAAATCCAATAATGCATGATAACTTTTTTAAATATTACGCCTTTCAATTTCTCTCTAAGGAATTTTTTTTGGATAAGGAACCTAGCATTTCTTGAACAATGTTCCTTTAAGTATACTGATGTCTTATCGGAAAAGCCTATGTTTGACAAACTAATTTCATATTAGGTGGTAAATGGTGAACTCATATCCTATCAAAACGAAGATAATCTTCAGATTGACATTGAACACTCCTGAAGAAAAATATTTATGGGAGATTAGAGTTCATGTAAGATCTTATTTGTCAGCTCAAGGTACACCTGAAGTCTGTACATCCTAGATCGAGCATCTTTGCTTCAGCGGACTTCCATCAGACCCGTGTTTTCCTGTAGACTTGAGAACCTAAATTCAATGTTGACGTGAATCCATAAAGCTATGGCTGAAATATTCATTTTGAGAAATATATATTGACAGTCTCTTTTTTCTAGAAGTTTTTGATTTTTGAAATTTTCAGAATACATATTGACAGTCTCTTTTCACACTTAAGGTGGCGCTCCAGTTTGTTCAACAGCAGGACAATCCTAAAGAACCTGAACATGAAATATCCACTCAAATATCCCATGGTTATATGGTAAAATACTAAACTATTTTGTCTCGCTTGTAAGGACCCGCTTTCTAAATTCAGACAATATACACTGACAATAAAAGACCATTGTGCCCACTGCCCATCATTAGGAACAAACAATTAAACAATTTACACCTTAACATATTACTGGTGCATGATACAAATCTAAGTAAACTACAGAAAACCTGTAAAACCAGCTCTTTCATTAGAACCTGTCCACCTTATTGCCTAAGGGGAAGTCTTATCGAAAGGAAAAAAAGGGCAGACATTTCTGTCGCTTCCTGCTACAACAACTCATTTTCTCCCTCATTTCTAGAGTTCATTCCTTCTAATTTGTCTTTGCTTCTTTATGAAACAAACCATAAAGATCCTCTAGTTATGCATATGTACTCCCTTTGTCTCATTTAAATGACACATTACGTGGGAACCAAACCATTTTTTTCTTTTACGACTATTCCAAATATTTTCTAAATATTACTAACAATTATAAAAGAAGTTGCGCTTCATGAAACTTTTTATAGTTCCTAATTATGTAAATTTGACTTCAAGAAGATTGAGAAATTGAAAGTTTGATTAAAACTGAAAATTAGATATTTTGGCCATTATTCTCCTACCCTTACATTCTCTTCGGACGGAGGAAGGTTCTTTTTTTTTTTTCATTTTTCATATGTTATAAATTTGGCAGTGTCTGATTGCTGTACTAGAAAAATGGAACCATGGAAGAAGAAGGGTGCCAAAGGAGAAAAAAGGAGTTTAGAGTTAGCATGCAGCCAATTGCCATTAAACTTGTGGCAACTCTTTGACTCAGAATCTGATTGCTGCTTTGTTACTATTCATTCATTTCTTTTTTTGCCTTCTATATTTCACCTAAAGGATTGAATGTCTTCCCTTTAACGTTTCAACTCCTTTGAAGTACTTTTACATAGTAGCCATGTTGTGGGTTATCTGTCCTGGTGATAAGTTAAAAGAAGTCCATTTTTTGTAGTATCAACATCTATACTTTGAATCTGGGCAAAAGAATTCCATGCAGAGAAAGGATGAGGATCACCTTAATGTGGGGATGATTTGCTGGAGAGGTGAAAATTGGACATGAACCTTTCTTCTAAATTTTTAAAGAAATTTGGTATTAGCTAACTTGCTCATACATGACTAGCATGACCCCTCATTATATAGGTTATTGACCACTAACTAAAGATGGATAGGTCCTAGAAAAAGAGCAAGGATCATTCATTTACAAGTTTGAAATAAATTTTTGTTTAAGGGCTAACATTCGAGCTACACAAGTTAAAGGGTCTATAATGCACTTTGCCCTAGATGGCTGAAGCACAACAAATAGAAAAATGAAACCAACCTGAAACCTTTTCAAGGCAATTGTTAAGATATTCGGTGCCCTCCTGACCATTAGACGCTTCCATGCCTTGACATAGTCATTGCATCTGCAAGAACAACCATAGTTGTTGACCACTATTAACGATTAGGTAGGACGATCAAATCAACTGTGCCTCAATCTAAACTAGTTGGGGTAATGGGGTCGGGTAAGTATCCAGCAGTTAGACTATTTTTGCATTGGTCGTTAACCAACTGCAACTTAACTAGTGAGCTTTAATTAACTCCTAGACACAGACTAAACTTGAGCGTCTCATCCAAATAAAAAAAAAATTGCATAGAAAGAGATACTGTCAAGGATTGTGATTTCCACTACCACCCAAATAAAAAAGGGAAATCAAGTGGGAAAACTGGCACGACACAAGTAACTCTAAACTTTGCAATGAGACATTTCAATACCCCAAAAAGAATGACCAACTACGGTCAACATGAGCTGAGTTCAATTAATTACAATTTTTTTTGTTATATTTGAAACCAAAATTAAAAGTTACTACCACGACCACCAAAATTTTGAAGATATTTTTTTTGGGAGAAGGCATATAGACCCCCTCAAACTGTAGTCTGATTTTCAACTACACACTTATTCTTTGAGGGGGTCCTATTACCCCCTGAACAATTTTAAAGTGGAATTAATTCCACCCTGAAATGCTATATCCAGATCTGAAATAAGTGGTGAAATACACGCACGTACCTGAATTTGACACATGTATTTCCCACTTAAATCTCTTTTATTCAAAACTTTTTGCCATCTTTCTCTTTCCACCACCTTTCAGGCATTAAAACAATTGCAGAGGGGAAGATGAAGTGAAGGTGCCAAGAGGTAGTTGTAAGAGAGACAGATAGAGAGAGAGAGGAGAAGAAGATTAGAAGATTAGTGGAAATAAACGGAAGAAAGGAAAGAAGATTTGCCGGAATTATTCGTCGGTATTCATGTTCTCCCCGAAAAGGTGAAGTAAAAGAAGAAGTAAAGACATGAAAAGGAAAAAAATAACAGAAACACATTATAACTTTAATAACAGAAATATTATAATTTTTTTTAACACTTACTTTTGCTTAGGGAGGAATTAAATACACTTCAAAATGGTCGGGGGGGGGGGGGGTGGGGGGGGGG